TGTAGCTTTGGTGCCTGTTCTGGAACTCAGTCGGTAGACCAGGCTGGCCTCGAACTCACAGAGATGCGCCTGCCTCTGCCTCCAGAGTGCTGGGGTTAAAGACGTGCGCCACCTCCACCCGGCAGGCTGCAGCAAATTTTCAAAGCAAATGAGTCAGAGAAGACTTTGGCCTCCACGGGGCACCAGCTGCACTTAGCCCCATGGGGAAGGCCATAATTACCCATGTTATCATCCATCTGAGTTCTTGTTGACCTAACTGCTGTGAAACAAACACAGAAGATATAGCCCCAGCGGCCTGATCTGTCCGGGGAAATCTCTCAGACACACGACATTTAGCAGCAGCTAGCCAAGTCGGGGAGCGAGTGGGGTGAGGAAAGGAAGGGGCAGGCAGAGCAGCGAATGCTCCTCTGCGCTACACTTCTCTTTACTCCAACCTCAAGCAGAGTATGGGAGACAAACTGCACAGCTACCACGACTTAGTACCACAGCTACTCAGTCCAAATGTAATCCCCTCCCCAATGCACCATGAGAAGCTCAGCAAGCCTGAGCACGCGCCCAGCTCAACCTGCATGTGCTCAGTGCCTCTGGCACAAGGAATTACATGCCATATTATGCGGGCCTACTGAAGCTGCATTCGTTTTTTTAAAATGTAATTAATTAAATAAAGCCAGAAACCCACAAATGGCTCCCTTCAAAGGGAAGCTTTCTCTAAGGGAAAAAAAAAAAAAACCAAAACCTAGAATTGGTCAGGGTGCTAACGTAAATAACCAAATCAAAACAAGGGCCCGGAGGCTTTTCTGTGGTAGACAACTCACAAGCCATGCTATGACCTTCACCTATGACTCAAATGGCTCAGTGGGCAACCCCTGGGGAGACTATGCCCAAGCCACAGTTGAGAAGCTGCTTCTGAACGCCGCCGCCTGTAGTCCCACAGCCTAGGACGCTCCCTCACCAACCAGACCATCAGATGCAGAATTGTTCAGATACAGATAAGACTGTCTTCAAAAACTTGCTGATTTCTCAGTTAGGCAATTAGGAGGTAAATCTGTCTTGTATTTTATTTTTAGTGTTGGCACAAGTAGTATTTCCTTGTTTTAGCTAAATAAAGTCTATATTATAATGATCATGGGATCAGCTTGTTCAACACTTATTATGTAAGGGCAGGTTGTCAATTCAAGGAATACTGCCTCCACAGTCAAAATGCCCAAGTGACTGCCCTTTGCCTTGACTGTCTTGAGTAGGAAATGAGTTATAGATCAAGAACAAAGATCTAGTTATCTAGAAGTCTGCCAGGAATATGTTATAAAGATACAAGCTTTTCAAATCCTTGGTCCAAGCAGGAAATGACAGCTTTGGATCATTAACATTCAGCATGAAGGCTGAGCAGATAAAAACAAAACCACTTCTCTTTAAATGATTAATTTCTGTATTTCAGTTCCCTTAAGCAGTCAGCAAATACAGTGGTGGTTAAACATCTGTTGAGAATGGTTCCTTAAAAGTGGGGAGATGGCTCACTGGGAAAGGGTACTTTCTGCGACAATGTGAGGATTTGCGTTCCAATGCCCCACCACCCACATACAAAACCTAACAGAGTATGAGATGGAGACAGGAGCATTACCAGGGCTTGCTGGCTACCAGGCTAGCTCCAGGCTCAGTGAGAGACCTTGTCTCACAGGACTAGGGAAGAGAATGACAGGCAGGGAAGAATATCTAATGTCTCCTCTGGCGTTCACTAGGCTGTATACACACACACACACACACCACGCGCACGCACATGTACACATCAGATAAATGTACTTTAAATGGAAAATTGCAGGCATAATTGCCAATAGCCACAAGTACAAAAGTCTGTTGCTCTGGATGGGGTGAAAAGTGCAGACAAGCAGCCAGGACAGAATATTAAGGAACATATGTGTCTTCATCCATTAGACCCATAAAGATTGTTGCCTCACAAAAATCACACAACAGCTGAGCTTTTAGCAACTTCATCTGCAACATGGCATAAGACAGAGGAAGTCGGAGAGGCTGGCACAGGAGGCAGCAGGCAGCAGAGCTTACAGCAGGACACGGGGAGAGCAGACACCTGGCTAAGCCCTGTGTTCACACAGAACCTGGGACACTCGAGGGAAGCTATTCATACTGCCTGAAGAGCCCACTCATTATTTATCTGTAAACAAGTGTTCCCTAAGAATGTCATCCTGATAAATAAATAACATGTTAATGTATCTTATAATTACCTGTAAAGAATAAGGCTATATAGAATTATTTTCTATATGCTAAAAGCACTAATTTCATAAAACATAACATTAAATTTCCATATTCCTGCTTTGAGATTCTTTTTCTCTGGTACATGGGTACCCCTCCCCCTCTCCAAAAAAAATGTGAGTCACTGAAGATTCTCTCAGTTTCTGCACCGTCTTAAGTACCTATCTGAATAGTAACAAGAGCCTAAAGTGAGATGTGGTTAGAACAAGGAAGAAAGGGATTAACAAGGGATATTTTGCAGGTAACCTAGAGACGGGAATCAAGAATGATTCTGCACAGGTTGTGGATACAGCTTGGCAGCAGCGCTTGCCTAGCACGCACAAGGACCTGAGTTCAATCCCCAGCACTGTCAAACAAACAGAAAATGACACTGCAATTTCTAGTCTAGGTCATTGGAAGGACAATGGTGCTATTAACAGGAAGTCAGAAGGGAAGTAGCATTCACGAGATTGGTGTCATTTGGGGGACTGTGTATTCTCTTCAGCTTTTTTGGCTTTCAGCATGGCAGATTAACAGCCCTGAACACACTGTTCTTCAATAGACATAATAAAGAGCCTCTGTCCAGGACTTGGGCTTAGACCACAAAGAACGAACCATAGGAAAGGCATCTATGCAGTACTTAAGAAAATCAAACCTCCTTTAGAAAATGGAGCCACAGAATTCCTTGAAAAGCCCCCTCCGAGGCTGGCTGGTAAACACACAGATAACTGACCTCCCTAGGGGATGTGGGGGGCTCCTCAGTACTGTGAAGGACCTAAAGCTAAAGCCAGCTGTGGCTGAGAATGCTCTCAGGCAGTGTTCCGCATTCTGAAGACAAGAGGATCTACTTCCCTAGCCTGCAAGGGACCACCTAATGCCTCCAAAGATTGCTGTCTCTTTGTTTGAGAGGGCACCTTCCCTCACCTCCACCTGCCAGTGTGATGTGTGTGCACAAGACAGGAGCCCTGCACGCTTTAATTACAGTGTGGAGACAGAAGTGGGGAGTGGATGCAGAAACAGAGGTGGGACATTCTCTCAGCATGGTTTTACCTGGGATATTTGAACAATGGCTCATATGAGTAATTACTAATTGACTAAGTACTTTATATGAAATAAAATCCATATTTATTTGTCTTTAGATAGAATCTAAAACCTATGTATGGGTATTTTCTAAAAAAAAAAAAAAGGAAGGAAACTAAGATCATGTGCTTGCTCTTACATAAAATATATACTTTATGTTTTTGTGAGCAGGAAACACGGATCAGCGCAATTCATCATTCATTTTGTAACAGATTCACAAGGGAAATACAATAGTATAGAGCTATAAACACTAAAACCAAAACTCAAATGAATTTCAAAAAGAACACTCCCATAGCCACATAAGCATTATTTATTGTCTCATGATAGGCAGAACCTAGAGGAGAAAGCAAACAGACATATCAGATGACACAGAAAAAGCTGAAGGAAGATGTTGATGCAAAGCTCACACTCGCCCAGGATTTGTTGTCTGCTTTGAATAATCCCTTGAGAAGCATGTGAGGCAAAGAACACTCTGTGTAGTTTAAACGCTGACAGAAGACAGAGCCAGCCAATTACCTTAACCCAGACCTTATTTTTTCGTAGAGCAATAGGCTACATCTTGAGAGACGATTGAAAGAAGTTCTATTATCCTGACACCTGTTACCAATTTCAGGTAGTTCGTCTGGAAATGCCATCATCTCATCAGGACCACAGTTTTGCTTGCGTTATAAGTTGATCAAAAAAGGATAAAAATATATGCCCAGGTCCATATCGTTAAGGCAAATCTATAAGAACTTTTATATACTCCTAGTAAAATTCATTGTCAATACATTCATACATAGAAAGCAATTTTTCAAAACTCTGTCAAAAACACAATTCATATAAATTCTTTGGGGGGAATTTATCTCCTAAATAAACTTGCACTATATGTATATTTTTTGTTTTGTTTTGTTGTTTTGAGCAGCAATATTTGTTAATTGAAAATCAAAGTAGTAGAAATATTCATTAACAGAACACTTGTTAAGCAAATCATGATACAAACACACAATAGAATACACTTACTTTTAGGCAAATGCTCTATGAATTACTGGTAAAATCTCTGTGATGGTAAATAAATCCACTTTTTGTGAGTTTGCTGATAGCAAATAAGTAAACAAACAAACAAATGAAACACTGTGTCCTTCATAGCACCTTTTGAACTTAGAAGGTGGCAACAGAAAAATAATCCATATTGGTTTCCAATGAAGGTACAAAGATTTTAAATGAAGATATTATACAAGAACACATTCTAAAAACTAGAAAGTAAGATAGAAAAAGTATTCACTGTATATTTCTTGATTTTTCTCATATATTATTTATATATTATATATATATATATATATCTTACTTGAATATATTATAGTACTTAAATATATTACCTTTTCAAAAAAATGAGTAATTTTTAAACTGCTAAAGGCAACTGTTTAATGCTCAGAACAGTTCATTAGATAAATGCTTCCTTGAGAAACAAGAGAAGTAGATATTTTGATACTCTACATGGAATCTGACCTTTGAACCTAGTACAAACTATGAAATTGGACACGCCAGTCTGGCTTTAAAACAGTTACCTCAGCTTAGCTGGTACTTTGGCCTCCAGCCTGCCCAGTGGCAACATTGTCAAATGAAGCCTGAATTTGGTCACCAACTCAGATAATACGGTGACTTCCAATACATCTTGCCACAGAAAACACCCATACCTTTGTCAGAATGATTCTTCCGCCCATGAGGGATTCTGTGAAGACTCAGAATATACCCATCCTCTGTCTGGACTGAGTGCTCCTCACCAGTGTATCCCCAGTACATGATGAGTTCAGTCTGGGGAGAGAGAGGACAACAGACATTCTATGCTGGATTCTGATGCTTCAATCTCCAGAAATAATAGGCACAGGAGAAAACAGATGCAATGACATTTTTTTAGCTTTTTAAAGGAAATCATTGCTACTTGAGTCTGCTCAATCTAGTGGCCAAGAGCCCATCTCAAGACCCAATCTTTTACACTCACAGGTATCCCATCATTCTAGAATGTTCCACACCAAGTGTGTCAAAGTTGGGGCCTTGTTTCCATCGTGCCTACCAGGCACAAATAAACACTTCTTTTCTAAATATGTCAGCTAACACTTTTCATGTTTCATAAAATTCCTAGCCTAGGCAATAAGGCTAAAAAAATTTCACTTTCATCCATGGACCCAGAAACTATTTACTAGAACACCAAGGTGAGGATGAAAGAAAGCTGAGAAATCTGAGAAATGGGAAACCATCATCAAATTCACTTCTCTACAAGGAAAGGTCCGTGGAAAGTGTCACTGGGAGCTCAGTGGGAGAGCATAAATCAGTTACTTGGAAGACTAAAATGTTCATTATCCTCTCTGTCATAAATACCTAAAAGACGTTAATTTCATTATTCCCTTAGGAAGGAATTGTTAAAAGAGGGGGATGTCAAAAGAAAGCTTAACCTTGGCCTGTATCATGCCATACTATCCTGTCTTCCTGGAAGCTTTCTGTCTTTGCAGCCACCCAGTTCTTCAGCTGGGTCAATCCAGTGTCTATTTTCAAGCTGCTGTCTCTTTAATAATCTATATTTTCTTGCTATTGTATTCTTATGTGTGGTTTCCCAGATTTCACTGTTTACTTAAGATTACTAATTTTGAAATTAATTCAGGGGTTAATTTTTTGCTTATATCTTCTAACAATTCATTCTAATACTTTCACAATTGTATTGAGTTATGTTCCCTGGATAGTCTCAATCACAGCCCACGTTCAGCACTCAACAAAAGCATTCTTGTAAAGGGCTTGCACAGTTTTATCAGTTTTAAAGTGTGTTTAAAATGATTTAAAAATGAAATTACTAAAACACATTATTTAGCGTAAGCCCTGTACCGTGTTCAGCAGTCTAAGGAAGCTACTTGTGGAAGTGGTGTCTAGTGGGGAAAGTCTAGCAAATGGCATCTGCAACTCAGAAAAATCGAAAAGCATAATGAGCCATGAAGAGATTAGAATTATGATTTCCCACAGCTCACAGAACTCTATTTAAGAAAATAACACTTGGCATCATTGCATTTTAAAAGTACGTGACTTTTAGAAACTCACCACGTTCATGTTTGCTTCAGGGTCCACAGCTGAGACAGACCCCATGGGGCCCCCAGAAAGCAGGATCCCAAGGACAAGGCAGACCACCATGCCCATGAGCCCCATCTTCCTCTGTTTAAACCAGCCAGCTGAATTTTACCACACGAACACGCATCAACAGATCAACTCCTTCTTTGAAAGCATTGAAGCAACTGTAGGAAAAAAAATCTAAGCTATGAAACAAATGGTCCGCGCCGTCTCTGGAAGGGGAAAACATGGATTTGTTTTTACTAAGGAGCCCCCAGAGCTACCACCCACAGTTAATACACAATACACGCTTCCTCAGACACCCACTTACCATCTCTTTACAAAGCTAAACAAACTATTGCTAGAGAATCAACATGGGGAGGAACTTAGACAGGGTAAGAAAAAGGAAGAGCCATAGAATTCCCCACCTTTCCCCCTCTGCTTCGGATTTAAATATATTTTCAAGTTCAGCCAGCATCTGTTCTTGCCTACCACTATCTCTGCAATTTGTTCTTTCCCAAAACTGTATGTCAGGATTCAAACCCAAATGACTGAATGGGTAAGCAAATTACATCAGAGGTATACATAATTCAGCAATGAACGCACAATATGGACAAATCTCAAAATGATTATGCTACATAAAAGAAGTCGGGAGGTTGGAAAGAGGTGAGAGGGAAGGAATTGTTCCAATGTACGTAAAACTTGAAGAAAATGTAACGTAGTCCATACTGACAGAAAACAGATTAATGCCTGGGAAGAAAGACAGGAGGGGACAATCCCAAGGATCATGCACAGGGACTCTTGAGGGTGATGCCCACCTTTATACCACTGAATATACTAATTTCCCAGGTATTTGCACATGTCAAAACTTAGAAATTTCTAAATGTCCTGCCAGTCTACTTTAATAATACCCCAGCACTGTTGTTTGAAATAATGAATGAATAGACTCTCCTAAACCAAGTATTCCACGTTTCTGAAAATTGGCTCTCAGGAGATTGCAGTGAACTGACTCCCTTCAGCAGACACAATTTCTCCTAAAGTTATTTCTCCAAGGAACAGTGAATCTCTGCATTCTAGACAGAAGATGATATTATTTTGAGTTTGTGCTGGCCAAGCAAGCTTACTGCTTTTAGTTACCAGCACGGCGTTCTGTAGCACAGTCCAAGGCTACCTTTTATCTTAAGGTTACTGTCCCAGGCGTCCTTCAGTACTAGAGAACAACAACAACAACAAGTCTAAAAGAGGGGAGGGTGTGAGAAAGTTCTCAGCACAACTTAAAATAAGCCGGTGGTGGGAGCCGGTTTTACAGATGTAGTCTCCAAAGCGCACTCACTCCAGAAGGGTGACAAGGAAGCTCTGCACACACAAGATCACCCAGTAGACTTTCCTTCCAACACAACACTGTTGCTCAGTAAACTTGACAAGAAATCTCATAGAAGATAAGGCTCTGAGCTGTTTAGTGCGCTATTCTAGTCTCTCAGAGCACCTTTATCACAGTATTTATTTATGGCTTTGTAACAATCCAACTCATTATCGGTCTGCCTTTATTTCACCCCAGAAAGGAGGAAGGGCGGAGCTGAAGGCTAACTCAACTTTGAACATCCAAGATTCTGCCAGGTCCTGCACAAACCAAATGTACAGGTGCTGTTTATAAAAAAAAAAAAAAAAAAATGGGATGGGACAGCTACGCCGTTCAGTGACAGACGAAAATATGGGCCCAGTGTAGTTTTTCAATTACTTTAAGCTATTGGCAATACCCAGCCGGCAAACAGCGCCACCTACAGTCTATTCCTCTACCAACCCGACAGTACTAAGCCCATTTTTCAGGATAACAGGGTCACACCAGTCAAATACTGAAAGCAAAGAGCTAGCTAGTGTACAGCAATATCACTGGGGTTTTAACAGGACCCACACCCAAGTTTGCTGTTGACCATGTGTTTGGCTAACACTACCTAGGAGAGATAACGGGAGGAATGGACGAAGAAGACTAAGAAGCAGACATTCTATTTGTCCCCCAGTCCATGAACTCTGGGCAGGTTCCCTGATCTGCGATCGCGCCTGTCCAGGAAGCGGGAGGGCTCTCGGGGAAGGATAAACCATTTTTGGGAAAAACCCAGGGCATTGCCACCCTCAAAGCACTTGCAAGTGCCCGAGGCTGAACTCGCCCGGGAGCTGAGCAACTGGAGGCCAGAGACCGTGGTGGGACCTCCCCCACCAGCCCTTGGGACCCTCGAGACACCAGCTCCCGAGCACGCTGCACCCAGCCAGGCCCCGGCCATCACTCACCCGCAGCGGTCTTCCAAACTCTTTCCAGTAGCAGTACCCACTGCAACCCAGGAGAGTGTGCAGCCTGAAGTCTACATGGACATGGTGGGAGGGCCGAGCCTGCCCAGGTCTTTAGCACAGCCAATCAGAGCAGCCTACCACCGGGAAGTGCCCCGGTGACTCCACCCCTCCCGGCCATCTGCTTAGCTAGCCCTAGCCGACTCAGAGGAGCATGCGCCTTCTAACTGGCACGGCCCAGCCCAGCCTGGCTCTGCTCCGAGCCGAGCTGCCTCCTGCTCCAGAGCTGGAAGGTACTCTGTACACTCAGCACTTACTTAGAAGAGCATCCTTAACTTTTTCCTTTTATGGCCCCTTTTCATTTCAGAAACTGTCTTTCAACCTCCACTAGATAGGTATACAAAATAGGTACACAAATTAAGCATTTTTTGATAATAAAAATTAAAAATAAAGAAATTTATTTTAAAACAGGTATTTGGTATTATATACCTATATATTCACATGTGTACATATAATTATATATGTATAATTTTACCATTTTTTGGAAACAAATTTGTGTACTACAGACAGGTGTGCTTATTTTTATATAAAGAAATCTTGACTGAATACTTGATGCTGCAGGACCCATTCAGCATCATCCACAGTTTTCAGAATTGATTGGTATTTTGGTCTTCTAATTGTCCATGGTGAGACCACTGCAGCACCTAAATATGTAGTACAGAATGGCAGAGGTATGGTTAGAGCCATTTCAAAACCTGCCGAAGTTCTGTTATAATCTCAAGCCAAAATCCAGTACATGGCTTTTTAGGAACCCAAACAATAACTTTTAAAACCAAACATTGTAACACCATAGACTCCAAAGGTAAGCTGAGTAATGATGGTGGGGAAATATTAAAACCCTTGGCTTTCCATAATTTAACTGTTATCATTGCATAAAGAGCAGAAAACTTTGTATGTGTGGTACAAACACCACAAGCCGTAGTATAGAGTGGTCACTAATGTGAACAAGGGTATTGCAAGCTGTCTGGCTGTGGTGCATGCAGGCACACACAGAACAAAGGGTGCGTGTTGCATGTTCAGAGCCAAGACTACAGTGATATTGTGCAAAATAACGTAGGCAAATACTGCCAGAAACACATCCACATTGTTACATGTTTCATTTTGGATTTATTTTTGGTCACCGCACATTCAGGAGCCTTTTTCTGTGGCCATTTTTTTTTTCGTGACATCCCCGCCCGTGGGGTTATGACCTACAGTTTAAGAAGCTGGGACATAGAACACATGAACTTTATAAATAAAAACAAATTACAAGCTTCACATAACACACTTACTGTGGATCCTGGCATGAAGTACTCACTGTACAGAATATGCTTTCTAAACCCCTATTCTGCTCACGTTCTAATGGGAAGAAACTCACTAAGAATAAACTAGAAGGAGCTTGTTAGCTTGGGGTTCAGTGGCCAAGGTGTTCCCTTTTCTTCTAACCAAGAAAACAAATTAGTGAAGGTTTCTCAATAGAGGCAGTTAATAGAATGGTTACTCTGGAAACTGAGGTCAGCTGTGGAGACAATGAGACTGTTAGACTATTCCAAAGACAGTCCAATCAAGAGTCAATGGTTTGGACAATGGTAGTGATGGCAGAGGAGTGAGCGAGCAGTCAGTTGTAGGGATGCTCATGAAGAGACAGCAGCACTTGCCAGCGGACTAAACGGAGGTAGGAGAGGAAGGAAAGGACCAAGGACAGTACAGTCACAATGAGCAAAACAGCCGTACCAGAAGCTAAATTGGAGCTAATACCAGGAAGAGGAGCTGAGAAGCTAACCAAGCTTGTTGTATAATAGATGTGTTGATTTGGAAATGCCTGTTGAAGAATTTCATCAGGTAAGTTCACATCAGAAAAGAAATTGGTTGCAAAGATAAAGGCATTGCTGAAAAGCTGAGCCAGGTGTGGCCGGGTGCCTGAGGGGTTACTAGCAACAGTGGGAAGGGCCGGGGCACAACAGGGAGAAGACAGTGTCATCAGAGATTGAAGACTGACTCGCAGCCTCTGCCACAGACTCCTAAAAACAATAGAAGGATCTAGAAATGAGGGGCTTTCCTTTCCCTGTGCCCTGGCATCTGTGGATGAAATGCAGGCTGAAAGCTGGGTATCACAGTAGTTTATGAAATGCCCCCATAAGCTGGGTGGACCCTCCACCCACTGTAACACAGGAGAGATCTGGGAAGCACAGGAAATGAACTGAGACCAATAGAAAAAGATGAGTCATTCACGTGAATATGCTGATGAACCCTAGGATAGTTAGGGCTAGAATTCAAAGTCAAGTTCCAAGCTACAGGTATTATTTAAGAATAGTAAGTTTAGATATGGAATTTAAAGCCATGAGACTAGATGAGATCTCCCATGAAGTCAACCTAGACGGCAGGTGCTTAGAGGTTCAGAAAATGAGAAGATAACTGGGGACCTGAGGATGTTGCTCTTGGCACCAAGGGAGAGGAAAGAGCCACCCAGCAAGTGTCAGTGATGGCTCCAGTGAGCAGAGCCCTGTGACTGAACAGCTGACTCCTTGTGATAGGAAGCCCTTTTCCGTGAGATCTCCATCCTCAACCAGACCTCTGTATCTCCATCTTACATAAATAGAAATGGAATTTAGAACTGTTATTTTGCCTCAGGTCACCGAGACAGAAAGTGATGTCACCTAAATGCAATCCAGGAAAACTAAATTCACATCATACTCTGTGAAGGAATGAGCAAACAACCCATACTACCAAGAAGTTTCTCCATCCAGATAAGGGAGAGCTTACCTACTTCTGGCTTTAGGCCATTATAAGCCACAATGACTTGTGAATCACCCAGATGTTTGCTATGAGAGGAAGCTGCTGCTGGTGGTGGTGGTGATGGTACACGTCAATGTGCTCAAGGTACGCTTGTTTTGTTGTTGTTGTTGGTTGCTGCTGTGGTCCTGGAGATAGAAGCCAAGGCTTCACATATGCTAGGCATCATGGTTAGCTTCAGCTGTCAATTTGATGTATCTATGAAAAAGGAACCTCAACTGAGGAAATGCCCCCATCGTATTGGCCTGCGGGAATGTCTGTAGGAGCGTTTTCTTGATTGCTAATTGGTGTAGGAGAGACCACTGTGGACAGCTCCATCACTAAGCTGGTGGGCCTGGGCTGTATAAAAATGCTAACTGAACAAGTCACAGGAAGCAAGTCAGTGACAACCAGCATCCTGCATAGCCTCTGCTTCCATTCCTGCCTCTGGGTTTCTTCTTTGTGTTCCTGCCCTGAATTCCTTTGATGACAGACTGGAAATCTGTAGGCTGAAGTAAATCCTTTCACTCCCAAGTTGTTTTTGGTCAGTGTCCTATAATAGCAACAGCAAAGAAAATAGAGCAAGTACTATACTATAGAACGGTACTGTCTTTTTCTGAAAATACCTCTTGCCTTCAGAGAGACTGAACTTTTGCCGGACCTTGAAACCAAGTTGACGATCTGCCTTGAGATCATTTAGAACTATGCAGTCAATCTGCTGTACTACTGTGTATTCAACCTGCTTCAGTTTAACCTGCCTTGAAGAACACATTGTAACTAACCTGGCTATGTCCTGTACTTTTCATGTAATCAGCTTTTATAACCTAAGATAAATGCATAACTTTAATCCTAAACTATGCTCTTTTCCATGGCCCTGACATAACCTAGAATAGTGTGTGTTGTGTTACATTGTGTGTGTGTGTGTGTGTGTGTGTGTGTGTGTGTGTGTGTGTGTGTGTGGGTGTGTTATGGTAATGATTACTGCCAAGAAGTTGATAACAATATTAAACAACAAATATGGACAATAAATATTGGAAGCAACACGTGGATGTTGAATAGTATCTGTGTTCAGTTTAAGTGCTCTTCTGCATCAGTTGGAAGTCAGTAAAGCAACATCTTCCCTTGTGAAATTCTAGTAAAGAATTCTGTAGAAAAAAAAAAAAAACTTCATTCCTTTCCCATACCATGTTTTCTGTGCTGTTCAGTAAGTACAGAGCAAAGTCCTTTGTTAGGAATAGGCAAGACAGACAGGCAACAGCAACAGATCAGACGACAAAACAGAGAAGCTCTAGTCTAGTCCACTCTGAGGGAAATTCTCTTTTGTTATTTTGTAATGTGATATCCAAGCAACAGAACTACAACCCCAGCCCCAGGAGAGGCACTTTACATTGTAAACCAGGTTGACAAATACTGAAACAATAATGCTTTTAGAAATCCTGCTTCCAGCCATAATGGAGTAGCAATGGCCAGACTTGCTCTCCTATCTTACACAACCCAGGAAAACCAGCAAGTTGTGAAACAGTAGTTTCCTGCTGGACAATACACAGGGCAGGAGAACAACCTCCAACAGAAGGAAAACAAGTGAAGTGCACCGAGCGCCCAAAAGATTGCCCGCAGAGAACTCACGGTTACAGAGCAGGGCAGCAACCCAGACACAATCCAGCACTTTATCTCAGTGTGGGAGACAGGAGACTTCAGGAGGGCCGAGGCAGCAGACTGGAGTGGAAAGGCCTGTATAGGAAGAGCTCCCCTGAAATCTTTGATTTGGTATTAATCAGATCTTGCAAGTGAAGAAACAACACTACACTAAATTGGAGAAAACTTAGTTTTAGGTTAATGCTGTTTAAAATACGATTGCTGGACTAGATTCCAGATGATCCTTTACTAAGGTGCCCCAACAATTCAATGAGCAAAGAATAATCTTTGCAACAAATGACATTGGAAATCTTGGGTAGCTGAGTGGGAAACATGGGGCCTAGTCATAAAAAAAGTCTATTCAAAACGGATCATGACATAAATCCTAGCGCCAAAGCCATAGACCTTCTGGGAGTCAGTGTGAGAGAGAATAAAGGAAATCTCGGGGAATTTGAGATTGGTCAGTGTGGCGGTTTGAATGGGACTATCCCCCAGAGGATTCTTTATTTGAGTATTTGCTCTCCCCCGCCCCCCATTGATGGTTGGGGAGGTTTAGGAGGTGTGGCCTTATTGGAGGAAATGTGTCACCAGAGGTGGGCTTTGAGCTTTCAAATTCTCAAGCCAGGTCCAGTATCACTCTCTCTTCCTGCTACCTGCCAATCCTGATGTAGAACTCTCAGC